TAAGAGATCTCATTATTATTTTAAAAGGGTTTGAAACAAATGTGCATGTTAATTTATTTCGGGTATTGCTTATTTTATGCATGATGTGAAATGTATGATTGTGCATGAAAACCATGAACTCACCGAGCTTTATAAAGCTGACTATTAGTGTGCATCTCAGGAGCTGGGTATTCAAGAACGAAAAAGGACAAAGGTTCCGCGTAGGAAATAGAACTTTTATTCGAGTTATAAATTATAAAATCAAGTAGTTTAATTGAATTTATGTGTAATGTAACCCGATATGGGATGGGTTAATTTTGAGATATGTATTTACGATTAAATTATTGTAAGACTTCCGATGCGATAAGACTTTATTAGCCGCTAGAATTTGGAGTTTATTTTATTTTATTACGTGGCACCTTGTAATTGAAATGAGGGTGTTACAGATAAGGGCAAAAGACACGCTTAGAGAGTTGCCTATTATCATTTTATATTTAGGCTTTTGTCTAGACAATTATGTGTCAATCATTTATAACTTAGTCTGGTATGAGCGGAGTTAGAACTTAAGTTAATTTTTGGTTGATGCAAAGACTTCCGTTTTAAAACGGTTTACACGATTTTAATTTAGCTGTCATTTTTTTGGAGTATTTATTTAGGAATTCGTTTTAGATTACGTAACGTTTCTCAAAAAAATTGAGGGCATTACAATTTTTTTTAGTTTTATTTGAATTGTTGTGACGAGGTATGTTGATTTTTTTTCTTCACCAGTGACGAGGGCACTTAGGTGCTGAAAATGGTGTTGATCCTGAGTTGTCGTATCATGAATTGTCTTATTAATTGTTGGGTATTGAAAATGAGATCCATTTTTTAATTATTGAATGTGGATCATCTTTTTAATGTTCATAAAAAGAATTTGGTTACATGCTCATAATAAAGTGATGTTGCATACATTTTTATAACCGACCAACGGACGGGTATAACACTAGTTAGTATCAATTGCAGGTCCCAAGATTTTTGGTGATCAAGGTTGGGACTCAGGAGAAATAAGGGAATAATGAATATCAGATAAAAATAGGAACTTTTTTAGCTTTTGACTGGGGGACGGTTGACTCCATATTCTTTATGTTGATCTGCAGACGAAAATCTATATCATGTTCTAATACCAAATCAATTGAATACAAGTACGTGATGCATATGTGATATGTTACCAATTAGCTTACAAATTATTGTATTCGATGGTCTAACCTAACTTTTCTCGCCATTACATTCTTCTCTTCTTCACACCAAACACAAGTTCACAGAGCAAGGGATTCACATGTGAATTAACTCCAAATTTATGTTGGTTGTTGTTTGAGATGATTTGTTAGGATCATAGTCGTGTCTTGATTCTTTGATTCCTGCTCTTCCTAATGATATTTCTTTCAATTGCCTTTATGTGGCTGCTAGTTGAATTACATTCAGCTAGTTGTTAGAAATCGTAAATTGGGTCTTGTGAGATATCAAAGAAACAGACTTGGATACTGGACATCGAGCATGAGATTGTGTAGGAAATCACTTTTCTTAAATAATATTTCTACCCTTAATTTGCCTTGGGTTACACGAAATTCACTCGAGGAAAAATCTAGATTCAGACTCAAGGTTTTGGTATAAATTAAGAGCAAACACACGTAGATGTTCGTATGTCTTGTGATTTGTAAAAACGAGAATGATAATACCTCTTAAAGGTAGACAGGTACCGAAAGTCACTAGCGGTTGTTGTGAAGTTATAAGACGTTAATGCCACTTTCCTATCAGTTAGGGATTATTAACATTAATGGGTTGCATCAGTGAGTAAACACTGATCAATAGCAGTTTTACATCTGTAACACACCAATTTTTTTGATGAGTGATTAGTTTACAAAATCTTAACACATCAGATACATAGTAAATTCATTTCTGAAGGTCAGTATTTTATTACATATAATGGCAATCTAAGATTTATCATTAACAATTAATAAACCAAACCTCACACAAGTCTAGGTTATTAACGAACGTTCTAAAACCCAATAACAATGCCTGTTGAGGACTTGATACACATGCCGACAATAAACAGTGTTAGACTTAATGCTTGTTGAGGTCAAACAATTTTCATCTTCAATATAAAATAGTAAAACTGAAAGCATACAATTTCCCAAATAAAATGTATTTAATATAAAACAACATTTTTCCTAAAACCCACCATTTTTACGATGAAAACTTGGTGAACAAATCCCCAATTTAATATAAAACTAAAGTTTAATGCTCATAAAAAACGTGAATAAAGTTTAATATTCATATACTGGAACATGGATAAAACCCTATTTAGCAAAACACCAATACGTGAATAAGGTTTAATATCTGAAACCACCAATTATGAATAACACTCCATACCCTAAAACGACACCGAAAACATGCATAAACTCTATATCTGAAACAACACCTTTTGATAAAGGGGAAGACCCATTTTCGACGTCTAACACCTCTTAAGTTTCCACCACAATACCTAAGGTCTTGGAGCCCGACCCCACATGAGGTCATCTCCGCAGTACCTCCATCCTTAGTGCCTACTTACACACCATAGAGTCACACCTACAAGCCTATGGTCTTGGGGGCCAACTCCACACGAGTTCACCTCCAAAATACCACCGATGACTTAGTATCAACTCTACTAAGCCAAAACCTCAATACAAAGGTTTCGATGTCCGACTCCTCACGAGTTCATCATTGTAATACCAGGGTCCCAGAGTCCGATTCAACAAGAGTCACCTTCCATCCTCTTAATTGATCTAGAATATTCCATATTTACCCTCTTAATTGATCTAGAATGTTCCACATTTATCCTCTTAATTAATCTAGAATGTTCCACATTTTCGAACAACCTTCTAATGATACGTGACAACAAAGTAAGGGGCCGTTTACTAAAGTCTTACCTGGGTAAACGCTTACTAAGTCACATTATCTAAGTGGATGAATATAATAAGGATCAAGAATCTTATCCGGTAAGAACGAGACAAAAACCAAAAGTCTTACCCGGTAAGTAAGGACGAAGACTCTTACCACGGTAAGCGCTTACCGGGTAAATTGTTACATACGATGTCGTTTTTGTGAACTAAAATTTTACTCAATAAATAAATAATAGTATTAAATTTTACTGATAAACACTTACTGAATAAGTGTTTGATAAACGGTCTCTGAGAGGAAAACGGATTTCTTTTTGTTGTTTCATCATATTACAAAAACTAAAACACACGTGGAGGGTTGTTTTTTTGTGGGTGGACGGTGGGCATGAGACGAGGGGCGTAAGTGTAATTATGCCCCCTGATTTCGACACGAGGGGCGTAAGTGTAATTATGCCCCCTGATTTCGCTTTCATGTAATTGAAGCACGTTGATTTGGGCATCGATGTCGGTATCGCATGACGTTCCTACTGGTTTCTCAAGACAAACCCCTTCTTTAGATTTCACACACACACTTGCTGCGTGTTTCTGCTTTACCTACGTCCATGGCGGTTCTTGGTCGCCTGCTCAGACCCAGAACCACGACTTTCTACACAATTCGAACTTTTTGCTCATCCTATTCTACATCATCGCCTCCTTCGTCTTCGGAAATTGGCGTCATAGAGCCCTTGCCGGCGTTCGGTAAGATCACCGATGGAAGGAATGTGCAGTGGGTGTTTCTCGGCTGCCCTGGCGTCGGAAAGGGCACCTACGCCAGCCGCCTATCCAAACTCCTATGTGTTCCTCATATTGCCACCGGTGATCTCGTTCGCGACGAGCTCTCCTCAGAAGGTCCCCTCTCTTCTCAGGTAATATATTGTACTCTTAAGCTTGTTAAGTAGGGAATTAAGCCTAATTTTAGAGGTACTTATAGCTTTAAATTAGTTAATCATCCTAGGTTATTCAGGTCTTCTTTGTTTATTATACTAAGCCCTGAGGAAATTTGTAGAGAACTAAGAGAAGGTACGAAATTAGGTTTTGTGTTAACTGATGAGTTCATATCATATGTTTAATGCTTAGGATTATCTTCGTCTTCAATACAAGAAATTTTTTGGGGGTTCAGATTACTTGCTTCATACAAATTTCTTGTGGGTAACAAACTAACAATTGAGCATGAAGTAAGAGAAGATAGGAAATTGGGATTATTTTCTCTTCTGATGATATGCAATTAGGTTCTGAACAACATATGCCCATGCTTTGCATGGACCACCTTAGTAGCGGACTTAAATAGTTAATTATTCTCAATTGTATGATCTTTCATGGATGCTAGTATTTGCATTCTGTGTGTGATTTGTGTTTGTTAGAGGATATTAGGAATTGGCAGTGATTTCTGAATTATGCTCTTGCGTATCAGTTTATATGCTGCATTTTGTAGTTCACTTATGTCTTTTTTTAAATTTCCTTTTACAGCTTGCGGAGATAGTTAACCAAGGAAAGCTGGTTTCAGACGAGATTATAATTAATTTATTGTCCCAGCGTCTTGAAGCCGGCGAAGCCAAAGGCGAATCAGGTTTCATTCTTGATGGGTTCCCTCGGACTATAAGACAAGCGGTGAGCATTTTCAGTCTCTACAGTTGAGTCATAGACATGTAAGTCACTTTCTTGGGTTGTTCATGTCTGATTGACGAAGAAGGTTGTGTTGTGAAAGCTAGGTAATCATGTTGCTATAACCATGATCACATGATGTATATTCAGGAAAAGAAAAAAAATAACTTGCTTTCATGCACATATTGTTTGTGCTTACAGTTTTAGGGTTGTGCACATTGATTGGAAGTAGTCATCAGAGAATTAGTCTTTACATAGGTTCTAAAACCTAGTCAATTGCAGTAGTTTTTTGTTTGAATTGTTCTTAGTCGGGTAGAATCYGTGCCCTGTTTTTGTTCCTATTTTTCAGCWTTCTGTTTCCTGTGTAGGCTATTTAAAGCMRTGCTTTCTTTTWGAATKTTATCGATCACTACGTTTTGGGAGTTCATAGCAAACTTACTTCTGTTTAATCTCTTGAATTACCTCTGTTCTGTCAAGTGGTATCAGAGCAAATACAAGAGGTCCAGAAGTCAGTAACTAAAACAAGTGAGAGTTCAAGAAGTGAAACACGAGCGTGTGTGAGAGATGGCGGCTGAGTCAAAAGATTTTCAAACCCCATGTGTGCCTATCTTTGATGGGGACTACGATCATTGGAGCTTGTTAATGGAGAATTTGCTTCGCTCAAAAGAATATTGGTGTGTGATTGAAGTGGGCTACAAGGAACCCACAATTGGAGTACAACTACCAGCAGCACAACAGAAAGCATTGGATGAAGCAAAACTCAAAGATCTTAAAGCAAGGAACTATCTATTCCAGGCCATTGACAAATCCATATTGAAGACTATTACTCAGAAGGAGACTGCAAAACAACTATGGGATTCGATGAAAGTGAAGTACCAAGGAAACGCAAGGGTGAAGCGGGCTCAACTGCAGAGGCTTCGAAGGGAATTCGAAACCTTGGAGATGAAGATGGGAGAGTCGGTGACCGATTATTTTGGAAGAGTAATGGTCACAGCAAATGATATGAGAAATTGTGGAGAGGACATGAACGATGTTAAGATCGTTGAAAAAAATACTTCGAACATTAACCGAGAATTTCAATTTTGTTGTTTGTTCGATTGAAGAGTCCAAAGACATTGATCAATTAACGGTCGATGAGTTACAAAGTTCTTTATTGGTGTATGAGCAGAAAGTACGACGTAAGAGTGGTGACGAACAAGTATTAAAAGTTGAGTATAAACCCAACTTGGGACATGGTAGAGGAAGGGGCAGCTTTGCAAGAGGAGGTGGCAGTAGCAGTTCAAGGGGAAGAGGAAGAGGAAGAACACGACCAGTGTTTAGATCGACCATCAAATGGTACCGGTGTCATAAGTTAGGACATTTTCAATATGAGTGTCCCAATCTTGAAAGGGGTGCAAACTACGTCGAGTTTGATGAAAGTGAAGAATTGCTTTTAATGGCCCATGCAGAAATTGACGGGAACGGTAATAAGGAAATATGGTTTCTTGACTCTGGTTGTTCGAACCATATGACAGGCAACAAAGACTGGTTTGTTGACATTGATGAAGGTTTCAAACACACAGTAAAATTGGGCGACAGTTCCAGGTTAGCTGTTATGGGAAAGGGAAACATCAGGTTTGAGGTTGAGGGTATAACCCAAACAATAACAGATGTATTTTTTGTTCCTGAGTTAACTAACAATTTGTTAAGCATTGGACAACTACAAGAAAAGGGTGTAGCTTTTGTAATTGAAGATGGTGCATGCAGAATCTACCATCCTCGAAGAGGGTTGATTCTAAACTCAAGGATAACGATGAACCGAATGTTTGCGGTGTCGGCTGTTATGAAGCCTCTCTCGGATAGATGTTTAAAGGTTGACGAACGGGACACAACAAACCTTTGGCACAAGCATTACGGGCACCTGAACCACAAATTCATTAGGACCATGCAATGCAAACAAATGGTGAGAGGGTTACCTAGATTGCAAGGGCAAACAAAGGTTTGTGAAGTGTGCAAACATCGGTAAGCAACATCGAGAGATCATACCGAGAAAAAGTCAATGGAGAGCTACAAAGAAACTCGAGTTGATTCACGCTGATTTATGTGGTCCTATATCTCCTACTTCTCAAAGCGGCAAGAGGTATATATTAGTTTTTGTGGACGATTTTTCTCGTAAGACTTGGATATATCTTCTTTCTGAAAAAAACGAGGTTTTTGATATGTTTAGAACTTTCAAAAACCTTGTTGAGAAAGAAATAAGAAATTACATTTGTTGTTTAAGAACGGACAGGGGAGGAGAGTTCACTTCAAGTGCATTCAATCACTTTTGCGAAACAAATGGGATTAAGAGGCAGTTGATGGCTGCTTACACTCCACAACAGAACGGGGTGGCAGAAAGAAGAAATCGTACCATGATGAATATGGTTCGATGCTTGCTCACAGAAAAGGGAATGCCAAAGTATTTCTGGCCTGAAGCGGCTAAGTGGACGTGCCATGTACTCAACCGAAGCTTTACACATGCTGTAAACAATATGGTGCCAGAAGAGTGTTGGAGTGGGGTGAAACCCAATGTTAATTATTTCAGGGTGTTCGGATGCATTGGACATGTACATGTACCTGAACAATGCAGAAAAAAACTCGATGATAGAAGTCACAAGTGCGTCTTACTTGGAGTCAGCACCGAATCAAAGGCATACCGACTATATGATCCGATCCTAAAGAAGATAATCATTAGTCAGGATGTCATATTTGAAGAAGCAAAATGGAATTGGAATGGGAAAGATGCAGAATCCAGATCTGAAAATCTAGTTTGGGAAGATAACGGAACAACGTACGAAGGAAATGATGAAGAAGCCATCGATGAAGAACATGATCGAGGGGCTGATAATGAAGAGATTAGAGCAGAAGAAACACTAGCAGATCGAACAAATTCTGATGAAAATCCATCAGAAATAGAATCACCAGATGTAGAAGGAGAAATCGAAAGGAACCAACTTGGATGCGTGACTACGAAAGTGGCGGAGAGTTTTCAGATGAAGAGGCTGGTATGGTAATGTTTAGTTCTCATGGGGACCCTACTAGCTTTGAGGAAGCTGTTAAAGAAGATAAATGGGTGCAAGCAATGAAAAACGAATTATTAGCCATTGAAAAAAATAACACTTGGGAACTTGTAGTTCTACCAGCTGGTGCAAAAACAATAGGAGTTAAATGGGTCTTTAAGACTAAGTTGAATGAAGATGGGGAGGTTGATAAACACAAGGCAAGGCTAGTTGTAAAAGGGTACGCCCAAAAGGAAGGAATATACTATGACGAGGTTTTTGCCCCGGTAGCTCGGTGGGATACCATTCGAACCCTTCTGGCTGTAGCTGCACAAAGAGGTTGGAAATTTACCAATTAGACGTAAAAAGTGCTTTCTTATACGTAGCACTCAAAGTTGTGTACGTGGACCAACCACAAGGTTTTACCAAGAAAGGTGAGGAGAGCAAAGTTTATCGGCTCAAAAAGGCTTTATACGGGTTGAAACAGGCTCCTAGGGCCTGGTTCAGTCGGATTGAAGGTTATTTCACACGAGAAGGATTTACAAAAAACAGCTATGATCACACATTATTCACCAAAAAGGTTGGAGAAAAGCTTATCATGGTAAGTCTTTATGTTGATGACCTAATCTATACCGGAAATGATGTTGTGCTATGTGAAGGGTTTAAAAGTTCAATGAAGCGGGAGTTCGAGATGACCGATCTAGGCATGATGAAATTCTTCCTTGGTGTAGAGGTACATCAAAGCTTTAACGAAATCATCTCTGCCAAAGAAAATATGCTAAAGAGGTGCTGGAGAGATTTGGAATGTGGAATTGCAATCCTGTCATGAACCCCATTGTTCCAGGAACTATTCTCACAAAGGAAGGGGGAGGAAAAGAAGTGGATGGCACTCTATACAAGCAACTCGTAGGGAGCTTAATGTATTTGACAGCCACACGACCTGACATGATGTATGTAGTGTGTCTAATATCTCGCTTCATGGCCAAACCAAGAGAAGAACACATGCAGATAGCTAAAAGAGTACTAAGGTATTTGAAAGGTACGCTAGACTTTGGCCTTTTCTATAGAAGAGAATCTGACTCGAAGCTAAAGGCTTACACCGATAGCGATTATGCAAGAGACACTGGAGACAGAAAAAGCACATCAGGATATGTATTCTTATTAAGTGATGCAGCAATATGTTGGAGTTCAAGAAAACAAGCCATTGTCACTCTTTCGTCAACAGAAGCCGAGTATGTGGCTGGAACTTCATGTGCATGCCACTGCGTATGGCTGAAAGGACTTCTTGAACATCTAAATTTCAAGCAGTGTGAATGTCTGGAGATATTTTGTGATAATAGTTCCTCTATTAATCTATCGAAAAATCCGGTGATGCACAGGAGGACAAAACATATCGATGTAAGGTACCATTATTTGCGTGAGCTTACGAATCAAGAAGCTGTGAAGTTGGTGTTTTGCGGGACTAAGGACCAGGTTGCAGACATCATGACAAAGCCGGTGAAGTTGGAGACTTTTGTTAAGTTGCGAAATCTTCTTGGAGTACAAGCAAGAGAAGATTAAACTGGATGCTTTAGCATTTCCAGTTTAAGGGAGGAATTGATTGGAAGTAGTCATCAAAGAATTAGTCTTTACTTAATAATAGGTTCTAAAGCCTAGTCAATTGCAGTATTTTTTTGTTTGAATTGTTCTTAGTCGGGTAGAATCTGTGCCCTGTTTTTGTTCCTATTTTTCAGCTTTCTGTTTCCTGTGTAGGCTATTTAAAGCCGTGCTTTCTTTTTGAATGTTATCGATCACTACGTTTTGGGAGTTCATAGCAAACTTACTTCTGTTTAATCTCTTGAATTACCTCTGTTCTGTCAAGCACATGGCATAGGGCAGATTGGCATAGCCTACAAGTAAAGATCTCTTCTTTTGTCACTTTCACTAACAAATAAGGATAAAGTTTTAAAAGAACAGGGAAGTTGGGCAATATTTCCTGAGATTGCTAGT